TGAACCTAAAACAACTTGAACTATTTATACTTTTTACTTCACAAAGGTTCTTTATAAGATTTAAAAAAAAAAAACTTGAAATTGGGCTGAGTAGTAAATAGCTCAAGCTGTTTCACGTTCAGCAGTAAGCCAGTTCAGATACCAAAATGAGTTAGCAAATCAAAACATGCAAAACCCTAGTTTGTGTATCGACGTCTGGTTGTTACTCGTTTTCATTATCAGAGTGCGTGATAGATACACGAATTTGCATGCAACCTAAAAAAATTGCCGTTATCCTACTCTGAATGATGTTGTACAAATTTTTCGTGGAAGATTGGCTATTCTGTATGTAATATTTTATCTCCGGTATGGCTTCTCTGCACAGTTCTTTTTAGAACTGCAAGGAATTCAAGCCTTAATAAAAATGTATTTTGACATATAAAAAAAATGAATAACAAACATGATTTACATTTATTTGAACCATTGGATGGTAGAACTGCTCACTAGCCTTCTTTAAAAATACCAGTGGATAATCCCCAGTTGTTAAAAATGAACCGATGGTGACTAATACATCCTAACCGATCCTATTATTGGTAAAATCAGCATGTACATACTACATAACAGATTAATTTGACTTTCATCGTCATGTATGGCACATAGCTTCAGCTATTTGTTTGCATATGTTGTGACCAAGAATGCGATATAAACACGTTAGATACCCTATTCAATGATGGGAGAATTGAGGTTGGCTACTTAATTTTGGGTTTAGAAACTTGAGTTTGCTGATCTGGACTCAAGGGAAAGTATGGTGTCAGATATTTTACAAGCATATAATTAACCGATCTTGACGCCAAGATTTCAATCTACGACTAACTTATACTCGTTTACGTGTCTTAGCTTTAGCCCACTTCTATTTGTTTCGTTATCAAAAGATAATTTATAGCACTTTCCATCCATTCCTTCAGCCAATCGGGACTTGAGCAAAAACACTATTTAACACTTTGTATTGTAAAAGGTTCCTTACTTTCCCGTCATCAGCATCGGGTCTAATTTGAACAGTACAAGGGTTCGCTGTCCTTGAAATAATTGATCAGTAATGACACATGTGGGTCATTTTTAATTAGTCTGGCGGATCTCGTGAATGAAATATGCAGTTTTTGCCCTTATAGCCTGTGTTTATGGCTTTATGCTTCCAAAGTAATGTCAGTTGCTTTCTTCACAGGGCAAATAACACTTTAAGAAAGCAACAGGGATGTGCCATCATCTAGCAACTGTTGTTTTAACTTCATAACACAAGTGGGTGAAGGAATTAAAACACTAGCAACTGTCCTTAGAGGCCCCGGTGAAGGAAATGGAATGCACGCTTCTCACTGGCCCCTGACTATAGTCTATAGATTGGGGACCATGCTCTTTCTTCCACACTTGGATCACTATGATTTTTATTGAAAAAAAATTATAAACTTCATTTTCAAACATTGCACCCTTTGGATCTATATAAACTTGACATCATACAGTTTCATTTGCAGCTGCAGAGGTTCTGTGTCCGGAATTATGAGCACGTGTGCCATTAATTATTCTCTGACACATACTGAATTTTCTGTTAAAACTGTCTGAGTCTGTTTTTGAGGTGCTTTAACTAATAACTGGTAACAAAAAATTAAAATCAATTTCCATGACAAAGAACATAGACCTCCTGAAAAACTCAATAGAGGGCTACTTGGTTTAGGGAGCCAAATCTTAATCTTTTAGTCACCCACTCTTATTAGCTTTCCATTTTAATCCGCTGGATTTTTCAACAACACTTTGTCAAAACAAGACTATGTCCAAACTCTAAAGACCTTTAATCTCTCCTGTCAATGTCTTGAACCCAAGAGGAGTAACCTCCGTGTCAAAAACAAAATCTAGAACCTCAAAATACTTTGGCCATCTGATCTGATATTTTTCTTATTGCCAATTGATCATATGCATATGGTCACGAGCTGAAAGGGACAGAGATCATGAGATGCCGTAAACAAAAAGGTAGAATCGAAAGCTAGCCAAGAAAACCCATTGTTTTGTCTTTTTGCTGACCTTAATAAACAAGTTACCAACTGCACGTCTCTTCATTTGTCAATCTGAATGAGGACAAAATTGGAGAACTACACAGCATATTAAAACTATGATTGCCCTTGAAGGTGGAGCCACTTGATCAAAGCCGCTCCCTTTCACAGTAGAACCACAAATGCTGCTAACAGAAACCATTCGCAAGACCAAGTTTTTCTTTCACAAAAGCTTCCGAAATTTCTGGTCTTTCTTCTATGGTGAGTACCAAAAACTTCCCAGATCTCTCTCCTTCAACCCATTCCTTTGTAAAATAGGCAATGCAAGAACTCACACAAGTGACCGATTCTACAATGAGTTTTATGATATGCTGCAGTCTGACCTCAGCAGAATAAACATGTATGGTAACAACATGTCAAGGTCAGCAATGGAAGATGCTGCATGTACTGGAAGCTTCATGTGTTTTGCCAAGCAAAGTCCACAAAAGAGCATCCATAAGGAGAGAACACAAGAGAAGAACAAGGCGAACTCTCCCCTCAGAAAAAAGGACTCAAATTCACAAAACATGAACAAGGGAGCTCATGTTTTAGCCCAAAAAATGAAGGCATTGGATATGATGGATGCGAGTGATCTAGAGCATGTACTAGACATAGAAGAGGCTCTGCACTATTATTCTCGCCTTAAGAGCCCTGTTTATTTAGACATTGTAGACAAGTTTTTCATGGATATTCAATCAGAAGAAATACCTGTTCCACAACCCTGTGCCAGCCAGCCTCAAACCCCCCAAGGCTCAAAAGCAAGACTTGGCCCAATCCGGTTGTAGATAGGATAACCAGAACCAGCTAGCAACAGTGCAAATGTTCTTATATATAGGAAATCATCTTTATTCACTACTTTGTCCCTCTTATTTTCCTTTTACAGTGTGCTGTACTAATGATTCTATTTAGTATAACTACCACTTTTCAGAGCTTTCTTTTCTTTGGGGTACTTTCTTGTTATTGCTTGAATTTAATCCATATTGTTCGTGCATAATAATGATTTCTCACCCATTTGCCAAATTTCCCATTTCTCAAACATAATTGAATCGTAATAACTTTCAGCTTTTGTTTAGTTATTTGTGCAAGAAAAAAAAGAACGTGCTTTTGTTTAGTTGGCAATTAAAATACAAAAAAAACAATCGTAGGAGGGGTGTTGTCAGACAGCATCCTTCGTGGTAAACACTGTCATCTAAAGGGAGTTGATAAACTTTCCATATCGTGTGGCTCGATGTTGCACTCGTCTTGGCCAAGAAGTCAGCTGCTGCATTCCCCTCGCCAAGTAACATCCAAGCCTCCCAACGGTTTCCATATTTTCTGCACATCACCGCATAGCCAATATTTGTTCCTACCAATTTTATGATGGCTGCATCCTTCCGCAACTCCTGCAAAAGCTTCTCCTCAATGTAAAACTTCTTCATCAAGTCCATCTTTTCTCATCATGGTATTGGCTTATGAGAGCCCAAAACCTTGTCTCGGAACGACACTTTACAAGTGTTTGCTCCTCCTTTATCAGGTGGTTTCGGGGGAACCAACTCAAAGAATCCTCTGCCATTCCTTTCATTATAACGGGCAATTAAAAGTTTACTTGACTATTTAACTTAAATTTTAATCTTATTTTATTCATAATTATATATTAGTATATTTATAATTGTAGATAATTGTTTTGAAGCAGACATCTTACAAAAATGATTCTCCCATCTCCAACTTCTTTAACTTAATTATTTTACTACAAATTTATCGATACTTAATTTTTTTGAACAAATAATTTTATTTTTAATATATAAAACATCATTCTCTCTCTTTTTCTCTTTTGTTTGAACAGATTGATAAATTTGTAAATTCCATCCACTTTTTAATCATTTCTCCCCGTAATTTAAAGAATCAAATGAAAGAAAGAATAGTTTCGGTTCATTTCCATTCTTATTATTATGATGATGATATAATAAAAAAGAGAAAAAAATTGTATAGTACATAAAAATTAAAATGTAAAAAAACAAAGATATTCATTTTAAAGAATTAAAAATGGAAACTTATATGCCATGCATCAATAACTTTTTCCACTGACTTTGCGCATGAAATTCGGAGGGGAATTGACTATTAACGCCTTCTGATATTATTAATTAAATATTTTAATATGATTTTTTTTTGCTATCATACTAAGAAAATTTCTCGCGTGATTCAAAAATTAGAAATTTTGGTAAAATAAGTTTTAAAAATTAGTGTTTAATTATCACACATTGTTAGTGTAATTTTTTTTATACTATTAAAAAATCAATCAAAAATCATGTTATGTATGAACATTAATAAATTAATAAATTTACTACATATGTCAATCTGTAATTAGACACAATATTATTGTATAAACTATTTTCTAAAAAAAAAAAGTTCTGTAACGACAAAGTAGGCAATGAAAATTAAAAGGATAGCATTGGAATTAAATTTGTAATTTATATTATTTTATCATCATAACCTCAAACTAAAGGAAGATGAACCCATCAGTCCCTCACGAAAACTTGCAAACAAATTAGGATTTAAAAAAAAAAATGAAAAATCCTATTTCACTCCATTCTCTACGAAACTACTCCATCGTCTTAAAAACTCCAGGAGTCTGATTTAGATTAGTAACCCGCAGATGAAGCCAAAACGTTATGCTCCTTTAAACGTTTCTGGAAATGAGCTAAACGGGTTTGTAACTGCATGATGCCAGCAGCCTTCTGAGACAGAACGGCACTTAGTTTTGCTACATAATCATCCAGCTGATTGCCTGGTTGATCTGCTTCAACCAACAGGTTCATTTCCTGCATATGTAATGTGCACCATACATACATTAATAACAACTTCAGATATCCTACCATTTTATATATGGCTATAGCCTATACTAATAGCCACAACTCACAAGTTTCTAATGTTTTTACAAATGGCACATTTACGTACATGCCATAAAGTTTATAAGAAGAAATAAAAATATTTAAAGGACAGAGTCAATTTAAATACCTCTTTAACAATATTCATCGTCTCCTCTACTTGTTTCCGGTGAGCATTTACAAGGTCTTCTTCTTCCTGAAATTATGATATATAGTTTTAGTCTAGGTTTTGTATGTATGTGAATTCATTTTCATAGTCAGTAGTCTACTCTTACCTGTAAGAGGGCATTCAAATCATCATCTGAATGAACTGTTTTAGGTTCAATTTTTGGGATGTCCTTCCATTTGATCTGGCCATTGGGTTTCTTAAATTTGTCATCTGTTGCTCCATATGGCTCTATCTTTCCATTTTTCTTCCATGATGGTTTCACCTGTTCACAGTAATCTTCAGAAGGACTAAATTCTTCCCCATCATTTTCTTCAGGCCATGTATCAGATGCACGATCCTCGTAGGCATATGTGTTAACGGAAGACAAAGGAATGGTAGTTGATTCTTTAAGGTTGAAGTTTGAAGATAAAACATCCTTCTTGGAATTGTTCCCTTTTGATAAGCTTTTTACCCTGCATTTTCATTCATTTTTTAACAGCAAAATCAAGTTTTCCATTCGGTAGATATCAGTGGTTGCACAAAATTGATGGTTTGAAGGGAGGTGGAAAATAAAAAACAGAAAATTCAGTTTGTTTGATAGAAATTTCATTGTTACCTGTCAGCATATCTTAATGTATTCAGAGTATGTTCGCATGAACCAGAACTTGGTGATATGCATGATATCATAACAGTGCGGGAATTGCCGACAAATGAATCCCTCAGAACTTCAGTCAATTTACTGCCTCTGAATGGGATGTGTCCTTGGTCATTATCTAGAGCTCTTATGCATTCCTTTAAGGCAAGCAAGCTCTTATTGATCTCAGCGCCTTCTATTCTGCATTCCATATAATTTGGAACACCCAACCAAAAAAACAAATTCCATTACGAAGGCTAAGAAAATGAGATATCGTTAATAAAATTACGTCTTTCACAATATCACTTTTGCAGCTCGTTGAGACATACCTTGTCTGTTTGTCATTATCTGTGGTATCCGCTCCACGTTCACTTCCAGCAAGATCTATGAAGGAGAGTTTCCCAACAACACGAGGAGGCTTGGATACATTTCCATCAACGGATTTCTTGATAGCAAGCTGAAGTATTGCATGTGACCGTGAAGACTCCTCATTTGCCCCTGTGGTGCCAGTACTTCTTGTGGCATTTCCTTGCTCAATCAGTTCTTTGATGGTCTCTACATCTGATACACGGTACTCTTGCAAACCAACTATGCAAACTTGTTGCTTTCCATCCTCCCTCATGCACAGTTTTCTGCAGAAGTACAATATTACACCTAAAGAATATAGAGACCACAGGTGCAAACAAAAAAGGATCAGATGACTCACTTTCGATCATTAAGGAGATCAAAAAGCTTCCCACCATATATTTCAAAGAAACTCACAAACAGCTGAAATCCCTGATTCCTGTAGGTATGATGCATCAATCTCAATATGTCCCTTGATGCTTTAAGAGGCAGTGGCTTCATTGTGTAAGTTTTTCCACTCCCTACATTAGAAGAAAATGATGGGTAGAAGTTCACAAATTATATAACTAATAGAAACATGACAGTGATAGTGCAAGCCAACAGAGTCACTTTGGCATGTAATAAAAGCTATAGCTGAATCAAGGGTTGCCATTCAGAATTCAAACATTTCTCTTTGATATATTACAAGTGTAGACGACATAATGAAACCATTTGGTAATATCTATCAGATTACTATTTACTTTAGACTAAAATTATCAATGACCCAAAAAAATGACCTTCTACAGTCGTAAGTAAAAACGAAGTCAATAAATGGAAGTTTCATATAGGCACATGTTTTTCGTTTGAAAATGAAAAGAAAAACTGAAACATTCCAAGGTGACGCGTGATATGTTCATTAACAAAATAGGCACAATCTGACTCTGCCCTAAAGCAGGCTCGGGGTGTAATTGCGGCATGTTTGGTATAGATTGTGGGGGTTGAGGAATTAATCACCTGTTTGTCCATATGCAAAGCACGTTGCCTTAGTGCGTTGAAATATTATTGGAACTATGGGCTCCACCGTTTCACGATACACCTAAGGAAATCAAAAGGTTAAAAATAAATCTACATACTTGGGCTATGTATTTGACTATTTGTCGATTTATACTTTCAAGTTTCAACTAAACATTTAACTACATTATAGTTACCTCATCATTTGTAACCTCTTCATTCAAGACGGCATCAAAAACAAATTCGTGCTTCTCTACATACTGAGTAAGGTCAACCTGTAAAGCATTTAAATTTTAAAATCTTCATATGAAAACATTTACTATTACTATAATAGCCAAAAGCTCATCATATATATGCACAGGCTTGTGAAAAATAAATGGGTAAATATTAATAACTGAGAAGGATATGTCGGACATTGCTTGATTTCTAGAAAGCTTCAACAATTACATAAATAAACATACATAATCACAGTCTATGGTGTTTGCACTGAACAGCATTTCTTGTCCTTCTGAGTACACTATTTTCAAGGCAAGCATTTCAAATTCACCGAGAGAAAATTTAGAAATATAAATCAAATATTTTGCAACATCAAAGACAATTATACCACATTAAAGCCACGGATTTCAATTGCCTTCTACACTCACCTTAAGTTTAGTCTCGTGCACTGTCAAAGAATTCGAAACTGTGTCTATAATATCCTCCTCGTGCTTAGCTATCTCCTTCTTATTCAGTGGTCTCTTGCGAACCTGCATAAAATAGCAAGATGACATAGCTAAAACGAAATTAAAATTCAAGCCGAGACAAATTTCAATTTTCATTCCCTCATACTAAAACAATGCTGTTTTCAAATATGAAGCTCAACAGTCACGAGCCAACAAAATACTTCAACCGAAAACGAAACATCAACGCAATTATACATCGAGATATGAGAAAGAAGAACGCACCACAACTTTA